TAGCCCAGGCGGGTGCCCGCCTCTTGCAGTCCCGGGCAAGCTCCCGAGCCCCGGGGGCCGGGCCCCAGGAAGAGGGGGGGGGCTGGGGGGCATGGGGTGGCTGGCTCGAGCCGTGCCAGGAGCAGGGTCTGCTGGCTGGGTGCTGGCAGGCTTGCACCTGGCACAGGCACCGTAGCCAGCCCGTGCCCCTTTAAAGGGGCCGGGGCCGGGAGGGGGGCATACGAGTTTCCCTGGTGTTGGCCAGAGTGGCCACCAGGGAAACCTGGGAAGGGCTAGCCTCCCACTAGTTCGAATTAAGAGGCTACACACCCCTTAATTCGAACTAGTAAGTTCGAACTAGGCTTAGTCCTCGTAGAATGAGGTTTACCTAGTTCGAACTAAGCGCTCCACTAGTTCGAATTAACTTTGTAGTGTAGACATACCCTGAGAGTTTCATGGAGACATGCAGGGAGGATTCCTGCTCCATCTCCAGATGCTTTAACAAATTGTTCTGGGCCCCCTGTACTGTGTAAACATAGTGTGTACCACTCATCATATCCAATTGCCTTAGCCTGCTTGTAGCAAGAAAAAAATTGTGAATTCACCAGATGTGCCATTCCCAGGATCAGTGCCCGACTGTGAGGCGTCCTGGGAGTAGGGGATCGTCTCCAAGGTTATAAAAAGTTCTTGGCTCTTGCCGCTCACTGGCTGGCCATGTTCTGTGTCCTCCTCCTCCTCTTCTCCCCCCCCCCCCCTCTCCACTACACTGTCCTCCACACTGCTGCCTTGTGTCTTGGGAGGATTCCATGATCTAGCTTGGGAAGCTGATTGGATCCCCTGTAGGACCACATGCAGCTGGTCGTAGAAGCGGCATGTTTGCAGCGATGCACCAGACAGCCCACTTGCCTCATTTATCTTGTGATAGAACTTCCTCAGCTCCTTTATTTTAACTCCACACTGCTGGGCATCCCTTGGCATATCCTTTCTCCACCATGCACTTGCAATCTTTGCATAGATATTGGGGTTTCTTTTGCTGGTTCAGCATTCAAAGAGAATGGATTCCTCTGCCCTTGCCTCAGTGAGGTTTAGGATCTTCTTCATACTCAATGCTGGTGCTCATTTGCATCCCTGGAACTGGAGCTCATGGAACTTGAACTCATGGCCACATGTGCTGCTCAGGTGTGCTGCCTGCTCTGAGGTATACTTGAAATGCTGGTCACATGGGAAATGAAATTCAAATTTTCCCAGAACTTTTCCTGTTCATCTGGAGAATAGTAAAGGTTCAAGTTCTGGCCAAAGTGGTCACAGTGGGGCATTGTGAGATGCCTCCTGGAGGCCAAAAATGTCGACTTTCACAATCCTGGGTCTACACTACTGTAAATTTGACCATGCAAGGTTGAATTTTGAATTGCTCAGTGTAAAAGCAGGAGTACTGAAATCAACTTCAGTGGCCCTTAGAGTTGACAGAACGGGCTTGGTAGTGTGCACATATTGTTTAGAAAATCACCCTCATATGGCTAAATTCAACCTTAACTCCTAGTTAGACCAGGTCTCAGTGAGTGAATAGGTGAGTTTTCCTTGATTGTTTGGGAGCTGTGAGCACAAACAAACATAAAGGATCAAATTTTGTTTGGCATATGAAGGGCTAGTCATTTAATGTGTGCAACTACTTACAAGTGTTGATTTGACCAACCTTGTTACTGATTTGGTCTAATGGAATATTTTAAAAATATGTTTGCATGAAAGTGTGCTAGATGCAATCTGTGCATAACATATGATATTACTGGGTCTTAAGCTAAGCAAGGTCTGATTGGCTAATTAGTTCAGTGGGAGAGACATCAGTGAATATATTGCTAGATATGATACAGTATACAGTAACCTTAATTCACAGCGTAATTTGAAGGGGACTGTTATGAGAATTGAGATGCTGATCCTAAAAATAAGCATGATCATTTGTGGATATAGTTGCTATGAGTTCTTTCATTATTGCTGTAGCTATTACCGAATTTGGACTTCTGTCTGGATACAGTAAACTTCCGATAATCTGGCACCTTTAGGACCCAGGGGGTGCCGGATTATCAGATATGTCGGAGTACTGGAAGGGGGACTATGAGGAGTCTGGGGTTGGGGGGTCAGCGGGGAACTGCGCAGTGTGAGAAAGGGCAGTGCTGTGGGACCATCCCGGCAGCACTCTAGGGCTACGTCTACACTGGCCCCTTTTCCGGAAGGGGCATGTTAATTTCAGAGATCGCAATAGGGAAATCCGCGGGGGATTTAAATATCCCCCGCGGCATTTAAATAAAAATGTCCGCCGCTTTTTTCCGGCTTTTAGAAAAGCCGGAAAAGAGCGTCTACACTGGCCCCGATCCTCTGGAAAAAGTGCCCTTTTCCGGAGGATCTTATTCCTACTTCAAAGTAGGAATTCCTTTGAAGTAGGAATAAGATCCTCCGGAAAAAGGCGCTTTTTCCGGAGGATCGGGGCCAGTGTAGACGCTCTTTTCCGGCTTTTCTAAAAGCCGGAAAAAAGCGGCGGACATTTTTATTTAAATGCCGCGGGGGATATTTAAATCCCCCGCGGATTTCCCTATTACGAGTAGCCCAGGGGTTTTCGCATCCAGGGTACGGGCCTGCTCTTCTGGTATTTTTGCGGAAGAGCAGATGTGCTCTTTTGAAAGCCCTGTCTTCCTCCTCCCACGAGGAAGAAAGGTTCTTCTGAAAGAGGTTTTTTTTTTCCCATTTGGTACAGCATAGACAGGCCAAATTTCAGAAAAGCCTCTTCCAAAAAAGTGATCGGACAAGGGTACGCAAATTGTGCTTCACAATTTGCGTAGCTTTTTCCGATAAAGCCCCATAGTCTAGACCAGTGTTTCTGAAAGTGTTCTGCAGAATCACTCTCAGAAACACATTAACTGGCTGCCCTGGTTTGTTTATTTACCGATGCTGCAGCCACAAAGCCTCGCAGCTCCCATTGGCTCATTTTGTCCTTTGCAGCCAAGGGGAGCCGCGGGAAGCGGTGTAGGCCGGGCCAGACTAGAGAGGTTTAACCTGTACTATTCCAAATAGTTCAATTACAGTCTCTAAGACTGTATTTTGTTCTCAGAGTGAGTGTCCTTGTCATATATCCCCAAAGTCCTTGCAAGATTTTGTATAGACTGATTCTGGGGCAAGAACCTTATTTTCGCAGGGAGCCCTCTCTTACCACGCCGTACTGTAAATTTCCTTGTGCAAGAGCGGGCGGGCAGAGTGGATGCTCTGCAGATTCTTGTGCAAGAACAGCTGTACTTGTGCAAGAAGCCGTGAGTGTAGACATAGCCATGGAGTTTTACTGTACTTGGATTAACTGCTTCTACAAAAGTATTAAACTTATCTGGTAGTTTACTAAGTACTGTATTCTTTAGTTCCAATCCTATTATGTTGTATAGGTGCTGGTGATTGGTTTTAAACCATTACTAGTTTCATTTGTGACATTATCTTTGTTACACTAAGACTTATTTTACAAACAGATCTTTGTGGGAGGACTTCTGTTATCTGCCTATATGTACCCCTGTTTGTATCAGTTATACCTAAGTGCAGGGTTTTGCTGCATGGGGCGGTTTGCAGGTTCAGCGCATGAATATATTTGTGAATGAAGAATTCCTGACATGCTAGTTTACAGATTTATTGGGTGCAGAAAGAGGTACAGGACCCACTTGTATTACAACATTCTAACCAGTGCTTTGAATCATAATTTCACTGGCCATCAAATTTACCTGTATTTTTTTAAAATATGTTTTCAGTTAATTTAGTTTTTAGTTCTGTATGGTAGAAATGTCCTTGTTCCATTCTGTGTATTGTTACATTTAAAAACAAATTCAGGCTTAATGTATTATGTGCATATATACATGTATATTTAGTTGCTTTAAGGATGTTGCCACAGTATGATTAACTTTTTGCAGAATATTTAGCTATTGATTCTTTATATTTTTACAAAAGGTAAGAAAACAGTTAAAGAATGATGAATTGTATCCAGCTGTTAACGAATAAGGTTGATGTATTACTGAGGTAAAGGAGAAAATGTTAGTTAGACAAGCTTCATTTTGAACGAGTGAAAAATAATTGCCACAAGATGGCAGTAAAACTTTAGCAAAATAAATAGTATTCTGAGGTTTTAAAAGATTATTTCTAAAAATAATTATTTTCACACACATTTACATTTTGAAGGAAAAGGGTATGGCACTGAAAAGGTTAAGATCTACATCTTATTAGACTCCTTTCCTATCCAGCCTTTCTTTAATATTTGTGCTCATTTTTTTTCTTTTTACAATCATTGTAAAGAGCCACATATGGTATGTGCTAATGAAAAGAACTTTCCATTTTCACTTTTCCTAACAGGAAAAACGTGGCCTCCGAGAAGTGAGAGTTCTTGAAAACCTTAAGACCATGATCTGTGAAACAAATGACCAAACTCTCCCTACATGTGAACAGGTGATGCGTGACAATCTGAATGAAGCATTCAAGAGATGTAAGCAAGAAGTAGTTAGTTTTCTATATCATAGTATTTAAAAAATAATAATTTCAAAAAGTTGGAACTCAAATTATGATCCTTGCTAAAATTGCTATCATATAATAAGTAGGGCTGTCAATTGACATGCGTTAACGCCTGCGATTAACGCAGTCCAGGATTAACACGTTAAATTTTGTAATGCATTAATCGCAGGCGTTAATGTTGCACTGCCCCTTTGAAGCACCGCTGTGGCGTTCAAAGGGGCAGTGCAACGTGGAGCCCGGGATCAGCTGGGGACTCCCCAGCTGACCCCAGGCTCCATTGCTCCTTTGAAACGTGCAGTGGCAGTGTTTCAAAGGAGCCGCCGCCTCACAGCTGAGCCAGGGATCACAATTAAATTTTTTAGTTGCTTGAGAGCCCTAAGAATAAGTCTTGTGCATAAGTCACAGAGGCAGCAGCATGGGCAGGGTCAGGTGGGAGCTGGTGCTTGAGAGGGGGCAATGTGGTGCTCTGCAGGAGCCAGTACACAACCACCAGCTCCCACGGAGCCATTTGGACATCCCCCCACTCCCTGCACTAGTGTCTCTGTATAAAAGGCAGCAGCATGAGAATGGGAGGGGGCACAGGCAGGAGCCATAACACACAGGGAGCCATCTTTTCCCCACTTTGCTGCCTCCCACAGAGGCAGCAGCGTGGGGAGACAGGTGAGAGCTAGTGCTCGGGAGGAGCCAGCTCCCATAGAGCCACATTTCCCCCCTCCCCGCTGCTGCCTCTAATAGAGATAGGGTGACCAGATGGGTATAAAAAAAATACCGGACACACATGATCTCAGAACGGGGGGAGGCGGGAGTCGGCCAGCCGGAAGGGGAGTGGGGCTGGTTAGGAGCAGGTTGGGGGGAGCGGAGCTGTCCCGGGGGAACCAGCTGGCAGGAATCAGGGCTGGCCGGGAGTGGGTTGGGGAGAGTGGAGCTAGCCGGGGGCGGGGAACCGGCTGGCAGGGAGCGGGGATGACCCTGGCGCACGCAGATCCCAGGTTGCTCCCTGTCCTGCGTGCGGTCTTAGTGGGGTGCACGGGCAAGTCCAGTCCCACCCTGGCCCCGCCTCCTTTCCTCTCTACTATGTAGCTGCGTACTGCCTGGCTGGTAGACATGCTCGCACTGCGTGAGCATGTCTACCAACCAGGCACTACGCAACTACATACTGATACTCCTGATAATAATGAAACGTACTTAATTAGAAAATACTGGACATTTACATGTCCAGTATTTTCTCAATTTGTTTCCTGGACAGAAAGCTGAAATACTGGACTGTCCTGTTCAAAACTGGACACCTGGCAACCCTAAATAGAGAGGCAGAAGTGTGAGGGGTGGGCAGGCAGTACACATGGAAGCCGGCTTTCAAGCTGGCTCCCTATACACATCAGCTCTGCAGAGCTACCTTCCCCCTCCACCCTCATGCTGTTGCCTCTGTATTTGGGGGGCGGGCGAGCACCGGCTCCTGCCTGGACCCCTGTGTGTAGATGTGTAACCACAGAATTTTTCAAATTCAAAAATAAACATTTGCTAACATCCCTAATTTACATAGTAAGTTTGGCTGCATTTTTAGAGTCTGAAAACTCCTAGTGAAGCCAATGAAGAGGCTTTAAAGTAATCATAAAAGGAACTGAACTTTCTGTTTTAAACTTTTGGATGTTGAGTGCTCTCTCCGTCATTCTTGTATGTGGATACAGTGTTAGTTTCCTAGTCATAACCATCCAGTTATATCATTTATAGCTTAGACTTTATGCAGTGAAGACTTATGCCTATGCATCCCGCTGGGACTGCACGCGGGACGGGCAGCACTCTGGGGGTCATCCCCACTCCCCACTGGCCGGTTTCCCCCTCCCGCCTCCCCTCCCCAACCTTCTCCCGGTCAGCTCTGCTTCCCACTGGCCAGTTCCTTCCCCCGATCTCCCCCGGCCAGCTCCGCTCCCCCCAACCCCTTCCCAGCCAGCCCTGTTTCCCACCAGCTGGTTCCTTCCCTTAATCTCACCTGGCCAGCATCGCTACCCGCAAACCCCTCCTAGCCAGCCCTGCTTCCCCCCAGCCGATTCCCCCGGGCCAGCTCTGCTTCCCCCAACCCTCTCCCGGCCAACCCCACTCCCCTTCTGGCTGGTATCCCCACCGTTCTGAGATCATGTGCGTCCGGTATTTTTTTGAAACCCATCTGGTCACCCTATCTCTATTAGAGGCAGCAGTGGGGGGGAATGTGGCTCTTCCAAGGTTTGTATTTTATTAGCTTTGTCACAGCCTCTGTATTTTATACTTTAATTTCACAGCCTTTCTTAGGCATAAATCAAAAGATTATGTAATTAACTACAAAATTCAATCTTGCTGTAAAATTATATAGTTTATATTTTATTCTGTTATATTTAACTTTTAATATGTATATACTTTAATTTTCATGTGGTTTGCCTGGGCTCTGACATATATAAAGTAATACATAGTAGGAGACGCTACATATGCAATAAAAATTGTAGAAAAAATGTATACTTCATATACTACTTCTCAAAGAATACAGTCATGTAAGTAAAGCCTGTAACCAAATATATGCACAGTAGGGGGCATAGCAACTTTGATATTTCTATTGCCTGATTTTTAGGTGCTTAGCTGTGTAATCTGTATGAGAGTACTGCTGCTTTAATGATTATAACGAGAAATGAGAGACTGATACATATTTCAGGAAACTAAGTTTTGTATTGGTGAGTGCAAGACACCCATTGAGGGGGAAAATGAGCGTGTTCCATTGTGCACAGCATGTATGCAATACGATGACCAACAAATCTGAAACTGGCTAGGTATACAGTTACCATTGTCACTAACGCATTTTTGCAGAGCTAGAAAAACAATAGAGCAGAGACTGGCTCCAATTTAAAAATGCTCTCTTCTTATATAATTTTTTGTATTAAATCATTTCTATTTGGGGAAAAAATGAAAACAAGTTATAAAGAAACAACCAAACTTAGTGTTCACCTCATCTGGATCTAGTTATTAGTTTATAAGATGTTTAAGTATTTTGAGGTGCTGAGTAGTGCACAGTAATTTGTCAGCAATATTGTGGAATATGGGCACCGGAGGACTTGGCTGCCTTTTCTTTTTGGCTTCTAGAAAGCACAAGGGTGCAACATATTTAGCATTGTAGAGTACCTTCTCCAAATAATGACCAAGCTTTGCAATCCAAAGGTAAGTGACCCCAGTGAGCAAAACCTACAGTATTTATATATAGTGATAGTCTCACAGTAGCCTCGTGGGTTTTAAGCTTATTTCAGTCTGGCTTCTCTTTGAGCTAGGACAGCTGATTAATAAACTGCAATTTATTTGTTTCAGTGCAAGCAGCCAATGATAAGATCCACAGACTCCAGCAGAGGGAGCAGGAAGAAAGAAAGGTAAAGACCGATGGGTGTATTTATAATATAACCTGGGGTGGAAAACCCTTTTTGGGGTTGAGGTCCACTGATCCTTGGAAAAATCATTTAGGAGCCACACACAAGTGAGAAGCCAAAAAAAAAGCCAACCTTCTCCCCTCACTCCCCCACCCCCCAACAAAAACAACAATCCCTCACTGACGTGGTCCCTGAATGAGAAGGAGAAAGACACTCCCCACATTCTCCCACACACCAGAGCCTGGGGGGGCGGGGCCCAGACTAGCAGATTTTTTGTGTTCCAGCCACTTAGGGGAGGAGCTGGTGTGAGGCTGGAGTACCAGTGCGGGGGCCAGATCCAGGCAAGCTAGGAATTGCATCTGCCCTCCCCTCCACCCCCCGGCCCTTAGGTTCCCCAACCCTGATGTAACCCAAATAGAAGGCTCTCACACTCATCCACAGCAAATCTTCTTGCTACCTAAAAATCCTTCAGTATAATATGATTTAGGAATACATTTTTAATGTCATTTACTAAAAATGCAGCTTCCTTTGGAATAACTTCTTCATATGTAAGAAGGAGTTGAATAAAGCAGACAATACATCAATGTATGTTATAGGAATACTAGCACATTTACCCAGCATTGCTTAGGTCCTTAATTCAGTTGAGCTTGTGCACTTTCCCCTTGCTCCCTGACAATGATGAAGTGAAACAGCTAGCATCGTCCCCATACAATTTGGGGAGAAGGGTTTCACGCATCCCCCACACACTCTGCCTAACTGGTGCCTAGGGATGTGAGCCTACCTTTCACCTGCCTGATGAGTCTGTCTCTTTTTTGAACAGTTTTATGAGAAGCAGTCCCTTTCCAGGCACATCCCATTTTTCTGGCACGACCAAACCCTTACGTTGCTTTATGTTATAAGAGCTGTATACTGAATTTGGTGGCCCTAGCTCTTACCATTTAGGAGTTCTTGAACAAACAGACAAACATTCTAAAATATGTAGTAGACAAGACTAATAGAGCCATCAGCTCCTCCCATACTCTTCAAATATGTGGAAACATCTTTAAAAATTTCTCTCTCTTTGCTCAGAGTGTGGTATTTATCACATATGGACAAAATTTAAAAAAAAAACCCAAAAAACAAAAAAACCCTTATTTTCTGTGGAACAAAAAACATCCACGAACCTACCAGAATGGAAATGTAAAGCTTTCCTGGTTAACTGAAAACATTGAGCATGTTATTGCTTGTTGAAAAGGAAGCATTTCATGCTGGTGCACTGGTTATTTAATGAAAGGCCATATTATAGGAATATGTGAATCACTGGAATCCCTCAATGGGCTGCACTTTTTGCTTGTTTGAATTACATCTAGTCTAAACCTCAAATTTGGAAAATTGTACAAGAAATTAGTTTCCTATGGTACTTCTACATTTTCCCATTTCACCTTTCATGATTGTATTTGAAAATGGTACTTTATAATTATGTGGAGATGCAGAAAATACCAAAGCTCCGATTCTGGCCTAGTCATATGAACTAAGACATGCAGTGGTGTGTATCAGCATTTGTTCACAATTTTCCTTCTTTTCCTTGCAATATGTCCTGCTTTTGATGATCAGCAGAGATGACTAATATAGTTGCAGTTGGGTACTGGCACTGTGCAAAGTATGTTATAGGCTTTGCTAACATTTGGATTCATTGTACCTAACAGTGAAATGTAGATAGAAAATTAGAGGAATCTATTGCCTCTTGGAATTCTGCTTCTTTTTTCTGAGGTGAAATTTAAACAGGTGGCTTGTTTGTTTCAGAATGTTCATTGTACTATATCTCCCCGCTCAAGTATCAAGTTTATAAGTGAAGTATTGGTCATAGCTACAGTTAATGTTGTGTGCATGTTTCTTTTCAGATTGTGTGGCAAAACTTTAACTTCATATGTTGAAACTTCCCATATCTGGTCACTTTCAGGGAGGGTGACTTTTATTTATTTAATTTTATTTTAATTTGAATGACATTATTTAGCCCCTTGCAAATTCCTTTGGTGCAATTCCACTTAGTTACTATTATGAAACTTCTAAATGAAGAAGTACTGTACTGTTCATACATAGTGGGTTAATTTAGGTGTAAAGTGATTTCTGTGTGCCTCCAAAAGTATCCGTTGAATGAGGTAGCATTCTATAGGTTCTCATGTTTATCCACCACTGAGTGTCTAGTCATATATTTCCAGTCTGTGAAATGTTTTTCTTTTTTTCCTGACTTAGGGGATAGATAGGACACCATAAAAATATCCATCTTAAAGTTTTGAGAATGAATTCATATATATATGAATGAGGTGGAGCAGGGCACATAGATAAGATTACCTAACATTTCAAAGTATAAATTCCCATTTCCAGTTGCTTTTAATTTAGATTGAAATGTTCTATGTTTGGACTCTGCCTCAGTTTGAAGCTTTTTGATAGTTTCAAGAAAAATAGTTTAACAGTTTCAAGAGTGAGGTTAGGGAACAATGAGTATTTTTGCCAAAGTGTGGCTTGTTGTGGTGTTTTGGTTTGCTTGTTTTGGGTTTGTTTGTTTTTTTTTGGCATTTCCATTACTTTTTCTCATAAAGAAGTTAACACAGATTCAGAACAGGTGTCAAATGTCTCAGCAATACTCTAGAAGATCTTGATTTTGCTACCAGCATAACTTTGTGGCAGTTCAACCGATATAAAAAAGACAGGGTTAATAATTACATATGAAAAGCAAAACTGAGAAACTCCAGCAACTCTGAACCAAATATTTGCTTTATGTGGAAAAGGAATACAAGAAATTAGTCAACTTGCATATCTTGATAGTAAAGTACAAGTTAATGGCGATGCTCCCAAGGAAATATCACAAATTGGCAAAGTGGCAGTTGTACTCACCAGTTTAAACAAGATTTGGTGATCAAAAATCTACAATTTAAAGAACAAACCATGAATCTTCAACTCAAATGTTGGTTTCCTCTTCATGTGGGGATGTGACAACTGGAACTTCACCAAATGGTACAGATATCTAAATGCCATCCAAAATAAATGTCTTAGAACTAGGTATTAAATTTAACCACTATATAATAAATACTATGATTCGTCAGAGAGTCCTTTTTTTTTAATCTGTGAATTTCCCAGAAAAGAAGACTATAGACATTTTAAGAATAAAACTAGATAGTCTACCACGTATGTATGCTATTGAATAGGTGGAAGAATCTGTAAAAGGGGTTGATCAAAGGAATCCCTCCAAACCCCACTCTCAAGGAAACTTTATGGTATGGAACAACAGAGAACATGTAAAGAGAGAGTCAGGCAGAGGTTTGTTTGTTCACTAATTTTGTGCATAGCCTTTGATAGAGTAGGAAGAATTCAGAATTTTTAATAATTAAATGTCCGCAGTGTGGAGCAAAAAAATTAAATTTCTAAAGGGATAGCAAGGAATCTTTTGCTATCCCTGTGAAAATTAGGTGAGATTCTGCCAAATTAACAAATAGCCAGGGAAGTTGCCATTTGCATAGCATAGTAGAACTTTTTTAACCTGGATAAAATCTATGGCCTGTATAATGCAAGAGGTCAGACTAGATGATGGCCCGTTCTGGCCTTAAAATCTATAAAAATGTCACTATCTTCTCTAATGAATGATCCACATCGAAGGTAACTACCTATTACTGCTGTAAGTGAAGTTACTCCTTGAAGTAGTTAGAGATCTTTGGTGTTGATTTTGAATTCTTTTGTTTGAATCCTAATGAGGTCTATTATGATTGCATACAATAGAAAATGAGGTGTTTCAAGTTATTTTATTAAAATAAAACTAAGAATAAGGAAAGAAATCCTGTAAGCAGCCTCATTAACTATGTAACCCTACACCAGGAACAGACCACCTTAATTCTAGAATTTCTTGTCTTCTGAGGGCTTGACTTTACAAACGTAATGTTTTTAACATATTTGTTCGATATGGAAAAGAGATACAGACATAATCTACCTTTATCCCATTTATTGCAAACTTTAAGAATATGGTTTATATGTTTCTCTTTTTCCCCCAGATTAGATTTTTATGCCATACCTGTCACTGTGGTACCAAGTAATCTTAAAAACGGTAATATTGTGTACGTACAAGAAGCCATAGTGGGGTTGCATGTGTATTCTGAGTTTTTTGATCTCTGATGTTTTTCTTAATTCTGACATACCTTGACCTCAGAATTTCTAACAGTGCAACTTTACCACTCTCTGACTATAGCTTTGCTTATGGACTATATTTTTCATATGCCGTATAGTTGCATTGATGTGGTTTAGTCTACACAGCTTCAGAATTTAACAAAGTTCATAAAATAGCTTTCTGTTTTTAAATGTCATCTCTTCCCAGGTGCTGTCTCTCTTAGAAACTTCAAATGGTACTAACCTAACTCTTGAATTTTAAAATATAGTTGAGGATTATTTTATTTTAAAAAATTACATTTGAAAATTCTTTCTTATTCTATCTGTGGGTAAATGAAATACATTGGTATATTATTCTTCCTGTGTGTGTCATTCATTTTTCTGCAGAGCAGTGTTACAGAATTTTATAAAGTGTATGTCTTTTAATGCATTTTCTTTTTAAATGGCATTTTTTCTTTAGAAAAAATATTTTTGTCCAGTACCAC